TATATATATATATATATATATATATATATATCTTTAATGAGTTTTGGGGAATAATTAAGACTATTAATGAGATATCACAGTCGTTGATTGGTGATCTTCTAACTGAATCTATTAATCCTTCATGTTTTACTCACTAGTCCCCATATTTCTAGTTCATTGTTTGAGAAGTCATGTTTCAGTTTTATACTCTTATAGATGTGTGTTTTGATAATGATTTCTACAGATGTATAATAGTTGGTGAAATCAATTAAACGTGCTTATGCTTGATGTTGATTATAAACCATTATCATGAGCTTGCAAATGATTTGGTTGACTTTAAAAACGTGCGCTGAAATGGGTAAGGGTTAGCCTTTAATCCTCTGCAAATTTTAATTGATAACAAATAGTCCCTGAAATTCAAGTTTAATCATTTATGTTAAGTTTAGGAAATTATTGTTTAATTTCTATATTATGCAAACCTAAAAATGTTGTTGATCATAGTACCTAGAAAATTAACATTCCCTATTGTTCATCAACAACCTTGTCACTTTTACATTCTCTCTTACATTTTTCTTTACACTCTTCCACCACGACAATATCTATACTTTCGATTTTGAACTCATCCATCACCTCACTACGCAGATTTCCTTCACATAAGGGGGAATGTCAATTAATGCAAATCATCAAGCAAGATGTACATATAGCATTATTCTTTCATCAATGCAAATCCTCCCAAAAACATGAGCAATAAAAAAGAAGAGAGATAAAGAAGCAATCTAATCATGGTTTATTTTTATTTATTTATTTATTTTTATTTGGGGGGGGGGGGGGGGGGAATCAATGATTTGACCCATTGTTTTGGTTGTGATTTTTTTCGAATAGATTTTATGAAAATGAATTTTAAGAATATGTCTGATTGAAACATATGAAAAAATTATGAATTTAAATATAAAATTATTTTGTAGGGACAATTTACAATTCAAAATTAGTTTTAAAAAATTAAATCGAACGGCGGAGAAATATAGCCCATGTTTGTTCCTATTTTTTAAAATTCAATTTCCCAGAAATTAATTTTTATTCATTTAATTTCTCAATAAAATGATTTTATACGATGGACCCATAATTTATTTAATTTTTTTTTTTACTTTATAATCACACATTCTTAAAAAAAGAAAAAGGGGGGCGGGGGGCGGGGGGGG